TAGGACAGCCAGGAGGTTGGTCAGTCACACCTCTGAAGTGTCTGTGAGGGTGTTTCCATAGACAAACAGGTCATAAGAGCTCCGACAAGTGGATTTTTCCACTGATGGATGTGAACTTTGAATAGCTTATTGGGAGGTGGTGGAACTGTGGAATATGGGGTCTACATGGAGGGAGCAGGTCATTGGGTCACCTTTAAAGGGTCCTTACAGCCACTCCTTTGCTTCCTGGCTGCCATGCGGGGAGCAGCTTTGTCACTCCTTCCTACCACCCTGTTGCTCTGCCTTGCTTCAGGCCCATGGCAAGGGAGCCAGCCAACTGTAGGCTGAAACCTCTGAAACCATGAGCCAAAATAAAGCTTTCCTCTTTTAAATTGGTTTTGTTGGGTATTTTGTCACAGCAACTGAAAACTGACTCTCCCAGATAGTATTTGAGAAAACACAAGTGAAGGATTTTGTTAACTTCAGACAAATAATCAAATAAACAAAGCAATCTCCCTAGCAAGCCTGACAAAGAAGAGCTCTTGTGGGGAGCTTTGAGGGTTCATTTCATGAATTCCCACAAGTCTCACTTGCTCAGTGGGGGAGGGGAAGTCTTACCACATGGGAGACTCAGGGGCATAGTCCCCTCATACTGATGCATACCCATCACTTACGGGGCTTCTAAGTGCAAGCTGGTTTGAAGAAAGGGCTTTGCTGCTTAAAAATAAAACCCTACAAATCACTATCTTGTGGCATCTGTCCTTATCCTTCCATTAAAAAAAGGAACTGAAAATAGAAAAGTGAAATTGTTGATTCTCCTGTAACCAGTGTTAGTCTCACAAAGGCAACACACTGATGACAAAAATGAAATTCAAAAAGCATATTGAAAGCCAGGAATCTTAGCCAGGACTTAGTTAAGCTGCTGGTGTTCGGTTCCGAAGGCAAGAGGCCATATCTGTATGATATGTCTAGCTACTGACAACCTAGTTCATCAGGGATTATGTTGAAATCACAGAGCATAATAGGAGGTTTGAAAACTGTTTTGTCTTTAAACCCTGTAGGCACAGACTGCTCCTTTCATGTGCAAGTCTACTATCTGACTTTCACTCTTGACCTCAGCCCATGTTTGCAGGAATGTGCTGTGCATAAAAGGAGCTGAACGTCTGGACAAGAGCACCCTGGGCAACAAGCTTATCTGGTCAGGGACGGCCCCAATGGGCACATGGCACATATTTGTTGACAGACTGCCTGTAGCTCATTAGGATTAACCTTTTTTAAAGTTATTTATTTACTTATTTATAATTTCTGTGTATGAATGTTTTTGCCTGTATGCATATAAGTGAACCCATGTGTGCAGTGCCCATGGAGGTCAGAAGATGGCACTGGATCCTCTGGAACTGGAGTTACGGATGGTTGTTAGCTGCCATGTGGGTACTGGGAACTGAATCCAGGTCCTCAGCAAGAGCAGCCAGTGCTCTTAAACACTGAGCCATCTCTCTAGCCCCAAGAGTAATCTCTCTTTGAAAGACAGGGTCTCATGTAACTCGGGCTAGCTGTGAACTTACTATGTAGCTAAAATTGACCTTGAGCTCTTTTTAAAAATTTACTTATTTTATGTGTATTAGTATTTTGCCTGCATGTATGTAAGTGCATCCATGTCATGAAATGCCCTTGGAGGCCAGAAGAGCACATCAGAACTCCTGGAACTGGAGCTATGGGCAGTTGTTAGTTGCCATGTGGGTGCTGAGGACCAAACATGGGTCCTTTATGAGAGCAGCCAGTGCTCTTTATCACTGAGGTATCTCTCCAGCTCTGACACTGAACTCTTTTGGGGGGAGGGTATTTTATCTTATAGGTTACAGTCCATCACGGAGGGAAGCCAAGGTAGGAACTCAAGGCAGGAGCTTGAAGCAGAAGCCATGCAGGAACATTGTTTACTGGCTTGCTCCCTCCGGCTTGCTCAGCTAGCTTTCTTATACATCCCAAGTCCACCAATGGTGGCATCACCCACAGTGGGACTTGTGATCCCTCTGCATCGACCTACTGAATGCTGGGATCACAGGCCTGCACCACCATGCCTGGTTATGCAGTGCTGGGAATAGAACTCAGGGCTCCGTGCATGCTTGGCACACATTCTACCAACTGAGAGACATCCCCAGACCCAATCTAATGTTTTTATTGTGCCTGTATGTGTATGTGTGTATATGTGAATGTGTGTGTGCATGCCCGCACATGTGTGCAGGTATGTGCATTGGGGCAGAGGAGGGCACTGGGCATCGTCCTCCATCACTCTCCGTTCTACCTTATTCCTTTTCAAGGCAGGATCTCCACTGAGCCTGGAACTCAAGGACTTTTTTTCTAGCCTGGCAGTCAGCAAGCCCCAGCAATCCACCTGTCTCCACCCACTTGCAGTGCTGGGGTTACAGGCATGAGTGAGACCACACCTGGCTTGTTAAGTGGGTGCTGGAGATTTGAACTCAGGTCCTCATACTTGTAAAGCAAGTATTCTTAACCACTAAACCATCTCTTCAGCCACTCCCCCACCCAATCTAACTATCTGATGGAACCACCAGCATGTGCATTTCAGTTTCTTCCTCTTCTGCCAGTGCTGAAGAGTACGTCATATAAACATCTTTAGTGTCCATATAAAACCACTGTGTTGTCTCCTGAGCAGTGTTTGCCACTGTATATGTTGAGTCTTGACCTGGACCATTGATGCCTCCCCTTAGACAAGAGAGGAGGAGTGCTGCTCCTGGAATGGGAGGTGGGCATTCACCTGGAAGCCTGCTAAGGTTAGTTTCTAATTGCCAAATAGTCAGAGGCTGCATGCTATTTAGCTCAGGGACAACATGCCATGCTCATATGTCTTGAGTAATATTTCAAAAGGGATTTATTTTATTTTATTTATTTTTTATGTGTATGGGTGTATTGCCTGCCTATAGGTAAATGCACCCATGTCATGCAATGCCCATGGAAGACAGAAGAGGCTGTTGGATCCCTTAGGACTAGAGTTATGGACAGTTGTTAGCTTCCTTGTGGGTGTTGGGATTCAAACCCGGGTCTTCTGCAAGAACAACCAGTGTTCTTAACCACTGAGCCATCTCTCCAGTCCCAAAAGGGATTTATTTTTATTTTATGTGCATGAGTGTTTTCCTGAATGTATGCATGTGCACCACATGGATGCTTGGGACCTGCAGAGGCCAGAAGGGGGCATTGATCCCTTGGAACTGGAGTTACAGGAGTTTGTGAGCGTCCATGTGGGTGCTGGGAATCAAATTTTAAGCACTTAGCCATCTCTCCAGCCCCTTGGTAATACATTTTTCTAAATATATCCTTCCTGAAGGGCTTCCTGACAATATGAATCAGGAGCTTTTAAGGAGCTCACCTTTGACCTACAAATTCTACTTCTAGAATTCTTCCTATGTTAAATGGAAAAAAATCAAGCATGGCTGCCCACAGATGTGTATCCCAGCAGTAATGACCAGAGCCATGGAGATCTCCAAATAATCTCAAAATTCCAAATAGGAGAATGGTTTGAAAAGAGAATTTATAAGCTGGCTCATGCCTTTAATCCCAGCTCTCATGGTGGCTCATGCCTTTAATCCCAGCTCTCATGAGGCAGAGGCAGGCAGATCTCTGTGAGATCAAGGCCAGCCTGGTCTACATAGGGAGTTCCAGACCATCTGGGGCTACAGGGGAGACTCTATGTCTAAAAAAACAAGTAACAAAAAAAAAAGGACAAAAGAAAAAGCTACTTTCTACTTGTGAAATATTCATTTTATTCCATGTTTGAACATTTATTTACAGTTTATCAAGTCATATACCAAAATGTTGATAATGTTTATGTTTCAGTGATCATCAGTGAGTCAGAAAAAATGTATTTGTTCTGAGACAAGGTCTCTCTATATAGCCCAGGCCAGTCTGGAATTTGGGAGCCTCCCACCCTCTGCCTCTCAAGTGGTGGGATTACCATGCACTTACTTACAGGCATGCCACCATCCCAGGTTTGAAGTATTTTTTTAGACAATACAGGCAGTCAACCCAACTTTAAAAAGTTGGAAGGTCTTTTAGCAAGAGGCAGCCGGGAAATCTGCCTGCCGAGGACTTTGGATTGCGAGAACCTCGCCTGCCTTCCCTCCCCACCCCTAAGCCTTTAATAAAAGGGTTTGATCCCCCCCAAAAGTTGGAAGGTATTTGTGTATGTGTGTACATGCGTGTGAATATATGTGTGTGTGCAGTGCATGTGAATGTACGAGTATGTTGTATATGGTTGGTGCGCGCGTGCGTGTGTGTGTGTGTGTGCGCGCGCGCATGTGTGTGTGTGTGTGTGTGTGTGTGTGTGTATAGGCCTGAGATTGACATCAGGTGTCTCCTCAACAGTTCCCTGCCTTTGTAACCTCAGCTGGCCTGGAACTCACTATGGAGACCAGGCTGGCCTCAAATAGGCCTGAGATTGACATCAGATGTCTCCTCAACAGTTCCCTGTCTTTTGTAACCTCAGCTGGCCTGGAACTCACTATGGAGACCAGGCTGGCCTCAATCTCACAGGGATCTACCTGCCTCTGCCTCCTGAGTGCTGGGATTAAAGATGTGTTCTGCCATGCCCAGCCCCATCTTTATTTTTTGAGACAGGGTCTCTCACTGAAACTGAATCTCATCTATTATGCTAGGCTGATTGGCCAGTGAGCTTCAGGGATCTACCTGTCTCTGCCTCTAGCAAGGGTGGAGTTACAGGCACATGCCACCAGGCCCAGCTTTTGACATGGGTTCTGAGCACATGAACTCAGGGCCTCATGACTGACTGAGCCCTGGAAAATGTACTTTTAACAATAATTGCAAAATAAGTTTTGGTTAAAAAACCCTACAAATCCCAGTTTTGGCCCTATTTTATAGAGAATCCTGTCTCTGAGGTCTGGATGTGAGGGACAACACTGTTTCAGATTCATCTGTTTTCCCATAGACCCTCCACAGCATATAAAGTCCCCATCAAGCCGATGTCAAGATCGCAGGATGACCCTTACCAGATACGCTCTCCAGAAGGACTGGATAGCAATCACTGCTTCCTCTTCCGTCATAAGCAGTGAGAGGGGGACAGACGGGCGTGGGCTGAAAAGCAATAAAATGGTCATAGGTCAGTGAGAATCCATCCTTCACCCCAGTGACACCTTTGACAACGTAATAGTCTTTCTGATTAAGTGCTTCATTCATCCCTGTTCTTTGAGAGCAAAGTGTAGTTTTTTTTATGAAAAAGTATATGCTTGAGTTAGCATTTCTTGTAAGACCTGGGATTTTTTTTAAATCAATGGTGTGTGTGTGTGTGTGTGTGTGTGTGTGTGTGTGTGTGTGTGTGTGTGTGTGTGGTGTAAGTTGTGTGTATCCCCAGTGACACCTTTGACAACGTAATAGTCTTTCTGATTAAGTGCTTCATTCATCCCTGTTCTTTGAGAGCAAAGTGTAGTTTTTTTTATAAAAAAGTGTATGCTTGAGTTAGCATTTCTTGTAAGACCTGGGATTTTTTTTTAAATCAATGGCGTGTGTGTGTGTGTGTGTGTGTGTGTGTGTATGTGTCCATGTGTGCATATGTGGCGGCCAGAGGTCAGTGTCAGGTGTCTCCTCTCAGTCTCCACCTTGTTTTTTGAAATAGGGTCTTTCACTGTACATGGAGTTCATGGATTCAGCGAAGCTGGCTGGCCAGTGAGCCCCAGGAGTCATCCTGTGTCTGCGCCCCCAGTATTGGGGGTTATAGCGCATGCTACCACACTTGGCTTTGACTTGAGTGCTGGGGCTCTAAAATCAGGTCCTCACACTTGTGCAGCGAGCACTTTACTGAGTCATTTCCCTAGCCCAGATCAGTGTAATCTTAAATCATGCACAACCTTCCCCTCCTTTGAAAGACTCAGGTTGCATGTTGGTCCTGAAGGTGTAACATACAGGTTATCGACACAAGATGACACAGACATAGGGCAAGAGTTGCAAACACCAGCCTTTGCAGAGGACATTGTGACTGAGGTGCAATAAAAGGCTCTTTCTCCAACTTTATGTTGAAGGGAAATTAAATAGCTCACCTCTTTCCCAAGAGCAAAACCCTGGCGCTGCTCTTTGTGCGCCTTCTGGACCGATGTGGTGATGTTTGGCAGGCTGCTCAGTTCGCTTTTACCTCTTAAGCAACAGAACACCCCAAGTGCTGGGTCAGCTGGCACTGTCTACTCTGGTGCAATTTTGAGATTATGATGGGATTTGGGGGGTGGTTGAGACAGGGTCTCACTATGAGGCCCCATCTGCCATCTGGAACTCACTATGTAGCCCAGGTTAGCCTTGATTTTACAGAAATCTGCCAGCTTCTGCTTTTCAAGAGCTGGTATTAAAGGTGTGTGCCACCATTACCAGTAGGATTTCTTTTTTACATCATAGATAACCTTTACATTTAAAAATCACGATCAGGATTGATGAGATAACTCGAGGTACAAAGTCTGCCAACCTGAGTTTGAGCCCTGGACGCACGTAGTGGGGAGAACTAACTCCGACAAGTTCTCCCCTTATTTTCCCCCACACACTGTGGCATGTAGCCCCCTCAAAATAAATTTTAAAAATTACTAAAGTAGAAAAAATTAAAATGATGATCACATGAAAGTAAATAGGAACAAGTTGGGAAGAGAAAAACCAGTGAGAGAAGGGACAGGAGAGGATATGGATTAAAATCCTTTATACACATGAAAATATCATAACAAAGCCCATAATTGATGCTAGGGATGGTGATCAGTCAGCAGAATGCTTGTCGAGTATGCACAAGGTCCTGGGTTCCATCCCTAGGAAAGAAAAAGAGGAAAAGAGAAGACTTTGATACAGTACATTTGGATGAACAAAAGCTTTTATGTTATTCCAAAAGTAAAGAAATCAAAGCCAGGACGAATGGGAGGTTACTGAGACCCTATCTAAGGGTACAGTGAAGTAAGAGGCTCTGCTTTTCTGGCTGGACAGATCCCTTCCAAAGGAAAGACATAGAGTCTTCTTTGCAGTGATAATTAGCCCCTGCAAACACAGGATTGGGAGGACCTTTCCCTAATATTCACTTTCCATTTTTAGCCCCATCAGATGGGCTTTTGTTTGTCTGTTCTGTTTCTGTTTTCGCCTGTTCTTGCCTAATAGCTGCTTTTCTGGGCTGTGATGCTCTGTACCCTGGAGCACCCTGCTTTCCACTTTCAATGTCCTGCTCATCTTTTCTTCCATTGTCATGCTTGGAATTGCAGTGATGCACCACGACCACATCACATCCCTGAAGTGACTGCCCCTCACTAGTTAAAATTCAATGGCTTCTAGAGACCTTGGTGTTTCTAAGGAGACCTTGGTGTGTTGGCAGTGAACTTACACAGAAGATTGTGGTAACACAGCAACACCAGCTGATATTTACCAAGGCTTTCTGGCCCCATTCTAGCCAGCCAGTCCTGTGGCTGTGCTCCAGCAAACCTGGCCTTTTCAGCTCCTTCAATGGGCCAAAATCCCTCCCACTTCAAGGCCTTTGTAAAGATGCCACCAAAGCCCCCTGGCTCTACCTAGGAGCACCTGAAGAGTTGTACTGGCTGCTCTGTGTTCAAGGGAACCCAGGAGAAGGGAGCCAGGGCTCTATGTCCCAGCCTGCGTCCTGCTCAGTCAGCCCTGCTTCTTTTTGCAGGGCCCCATCTGCTCTAAGATAAAGACACCTTTTCTTCATTTGCTCAAATGTGCCTCAGGGATGGTCAGGGCCTGACGCCTCTTTCTCCTGATTCACTCTTAGACCTCTTCTGAGCTCCACTAAAGAGTTGTTTAAATATCCTTTGTTTAGTTTGAGGCCTAGTGGAGCTCCTGGTAATTGGTCTCCCTCATCCTTGACCCAATTTGGAAACATAAGCCTGTGTGCTTGTCTAACGAATGTCTAAATCTACAAGACTGAAAGATGTAAGGGCATAGCCTGGTCTCATGTCTGCTTCTCTTGGTATCTTGGCATGTAGGACACTGCAGGCATGTAGTAGGTACTCAATAATTACTTTGGAGGTAGGCCTGAGTATGCATTACTTTTGTACCACTGTGATTAGATATCTTACAGAAACAACTTAAAGGAGGGAGGGCTCATTTTGGCTCATGGTTTTGGAGGGCTTTCAATTCTTCATGGTGCAGAGGGTATGGTGAAATTCAGGTCCACGTGAGCATGAAGCAGGGACCCCCATACATCAAAACTGTCTAGGAAACTGAGAGCTAACCTGGAACCATGAGTGGGTACAACCCTCCAGTACCCGCTCCTAGTCACCTGCTTCCACCAGCCAGGCCCTACCTCCTAAAGGCTCCAGAGCCTTCCAAACAGCACCACAATCTGGGGATCCAGTATTCATGATATGAGTCTGTGGGGCTATTTCGGAGTCAAGTCCCAACAGCCTAGCTGTGTGCTAAGTGCCTTGAATATGTGATTTCATCAAATCCTCACAATGGCAACAAGGGGTTGTTGTTACCCTGTGTTTAGGGCTGAAAAGGCTGAGAGGCACAGAGGGCAATGGGAACTCACAAGTTCACAGACTGCTTGCTACTAAGAATGATAACCGTGCAGGAGACAGAGAGTGACTAGGGGAGGGACGAGGCAGTTCAGAGGTCACTAACATAGACATCCAGTCTAGCAGCTGTTGGGCGATAAATAGAAGAAAACATGATCATTTGACTCAGAGTAAAAAAAAATTAGGACAGAAGAGCCATAATCACAGAAAACACTCCTTCAGTGGACCTTACAGTGACAACTTAGCAGAATCTCCTCAGCAAAGTTGTATGTCAGGACAACGAAACAATGTAGAGTCTGCGACTTGCATCTGGAGGCAGATTCGATGGCACCTTTTCCGCTCAGCAGTTTTCCTCCTGTAGGTATGTTTCCCATTTCTGAGGCTGAGATTGACTGTCAAAGTAATGATTCCTGCTGGGAACCAGAGGCAGAAAAACTGCAAAGCCAAGGACAGAGGGCCCAGACCAGGTCAACAAAAGGCCTCAGTCAGTGGTGAGACCCTGAGTCACTTTGCATCATAATGACAAGTGCAAAAGGCAAAATGAGATGTCTAATAGGCCTGTAGGCCAGAATAGGAGGCCAGTTTCAGTGATGTCCCTGGCTTTCATTGCTGAATAATATGGTGCTATCTCATTCCCAAACAAGAGTAAAGACCAGAGAGCCATTAAGTTTCAGGCTAAATGAAAAGGACCTACTCAAAGTAGTGCTTGGGAATTACTGCTTCAGCAGACCAGCTTGAAGGGACAGATGTCATGCTAGGTCCTTCCCTCAGATCAGTGCAGCTGGCCTCAGGTCAGATAAAACTAAAGAGGCAGGTCACCAGGGAGCTAGGGACTGGAGAGATGAATGTGTCAATCACAGGAAAGAGGCTGCAAAGCAGAGGCCCTTTGGGGCTGAAAGGATATTACCAGAGCAGAAGTGAAGGCCCCTTGGGGCTGAAAGGATATTACCAGAGCAGATATTCTATCTGCAAAGCAGTGTTGCTGAGCAGTTCCAAGAATACTTGTTTTATTTATTTTATTTAGTTATTTTGAGACTATGTAGACCTAGCTGGCTTAAAGCATGCTATGTAGACTAGGTTGGCCTCAGACTCACAGAGATCCATCTGCCTCTGTGTGTGCCACCATGCTTGGCTATGACTTGTTTTATTAGCAATGCTCACTTGTCATGTCTTCCTTTTCCTCTCAACTATGAATTAAATGTATCTGAACTCTAAGACTCAATGTTATAATCTTGAAAAGGAACAGAAATAGTTTTTCTGAGTATGTATGTATTATGTGGTTTTAAGAATGTACGCACACTTCCCTTTCTTGGCCTCTAAGTTAAAGATTTGAGGGACATAAAGAAGATATAGCATGCTTACAAGATGTGCAGTAAGAACAGGACTGGAGAGATGGCTCAGCGGTGAAGAGCACTGGCAATACAATCACGAGGACCAGAGAACAGATCCTAGCACCCACAGAACAAGCCAGCCATCCCATAAATGCCTGTAACTCCAGCTCTGAGAGATCCGACATTCTCTTCTGGCCACTGTGTACACAGGCACAAAAGACTTCCTAGTATTGAAAATTGAATTTTGGACTCTTTT